AAGCTTTCTATCCCCTGAGCCCTCCTACCCTACCCTGCATTGTTTGCTGACGTGTCTTCAGATCTAACAAATCTAATGAGCACCCTAATACTCGGCAACGGGTTTCACCAACGACGATATGGGTGCACCTCCCAAACTCTAGATCACCAGAGCTTGGCAGCTGACCTCTTCTCTAACTGAACAAGCTCTAAAGCCTCAGTGGGGGTGGGGAGAAGAGAACTAGTTGGTTCCATTCTGTTATAGTGGAACACACCTATCCTATAGTTAATAGACTTTCCCACCTATAATAAGTAGGAGTAGTAGTAGCAGTCGGCAGTGAGTTGGTCAGTCAGTCGATGTCGGACGACCGTTAGTCGGATATTAAAGTATCAGCCACCACAACTAGATTACTGCGTCATTAACTATTATATCAAGTTCCTAACGTTTTGTACGTCGAACCTAATTTAGGACCAACTTAGTACAAATACAAGCCTCCACTGTGAAAACACTACACAGTCTATACCTTGAAAACAAAAATAATAACATTCCTTAACAACATCGATCAAACCCACTCAATGAACGGATGTTCCCTCTAGAAGTCCCCCTGCTTTGAACATCTTTTAGGAATTAAATTCAACCCAGATGTCAAGTGAAATTACAATTCATTCTAAAGATGTTGGGAAAATGGTCGTTTCCCTGTGACGCTTCAGGTAGTACCTGACCCGCTCCGCTTTTCTCTACGTTTACAAGAGATAGATCAGGTCGAATATGGAGTAATGTTGCCATATATTGGCAGATGCTGTCTAACCTTTACTTACCAGTCTCGATAGGTTCCAAAGGAGTCTCAGCGTTCATGTGGCGGGAGGAGAATTATTTTCCACCCTACAAACCCTTTCTCAAGGGCGAAACGTCGCAAGCGTCTCGCTACTCTATCGCGATTTCCATGAAAACTATTCAGACGAAATATACTCCTTAGTTCCACCAGTTCTAAGCTCCACGGTTAAGATTTGCCATGACACACGCATTGTAGCGAACAACACTCATTCCCTTCGTATTCCATTAGTGAGATATAAGTTCCTCTTGAACTGCTTTGAGGAACCTCCTGCCAAGAGGAAGCTTCCCCGATTACGACAATATCAACCTGTACATTCGATGGCAGTGGCCGGCAAACTGTAATGGTTTTTCTTTGAGCTTAAGTCAGATTGCTTTCATTAAATTATTAGTTTGATGCAAAAATAGTGACGTCATAGTGTCGGTTTTTGACGTATTTTTTAACGTTAAAAAATGACATTCTTACGTCATTATTTTTGCACCCACCTAATATGTTAAGCTTTGCATCGGATCTCCAACTGATGTTCTGGATTTTTCTAAGTAGATTCGTATAGTGATTTTCCAAGCGTAGCTTAGATGCGGCACAAGGCCGGAAGCATGCGGCACCCAGTGAGGATTGAATTCAGTATTCAGTCGTAACCGTTTTAGCGAGACAAGTTTGCTAACAATTACACCACTCCGGGGTGCCCTAAGTAGATTTGTATATGTTCCATCCAGTCGTCGTTCAAGACAAGCAGATAATGTCCAGGTTTCTGATCCATAGGATCTGACCCATAAGTAGGATTGGTTCAGTCAATGTTCGAAAGGTTTGGACTTTTAAGAAGGATGGAAGGATTGAGGGCTAAATTTTGTGAAGGTAGTAAGTAAAAGAATGAAAGAAATTACGAATAAAGAACGACAACAAAATAAAAGGAAGAAAAAAGACGAATAAGAAGAAGAGGAAGGAAATAAAGGAAGAAAGAATTAAAAGATAAAAAAAAGAATGAGAAGAAAAAAAAAAAATAAAAAAAGAAAAAGGAAGGAGAGGAAAAAGAAAAAAAAAGATTGAATAGAAAAAAAAAAAATGAAAGAAAAAAAGAAAAAGAATTTGAAAAAATGAAGGAAAAAAAAAAAAACGAATAAGAAAAAAGAAGAAAAAGGAAGGAAATAGGAAGAAAGAATAAAAAAGATTAAAAAATAATAAAAAAAAAAAGAAATGAAAAAGAAAACGAAATGAAAAATTTGAAGAAAAGGAGATGAAAAAAAGAAAAAATAATAATAAAAAAAGAAATGAAATAAGAAAACAAAAAAAAAAGAATTTGAAAGAAAAAACGAAGAAGAAAAAGGAAGGAAATAAAAGGAAGAAAAGATGAAAAAAAAAGAAGATAAAAAAAGGAATAAAAGAAGAAAACGAAAAAAGTATTTGAATAGAAAGGAAATGAAGAAGAAAAAGAAGAAAAAATGAAGGAAGAAAAACAAAACGAATAAGAAACAGAGAAAAGAAGTAGAGGAATAAAGAATAAAAAGATTAAAAATAATAATAAAAAAAGAAATGAAATAAGAAAACGAGAAAAAGAATTTGAAGAGAAAGGGAGATGAAAAGAAGAAAACCAAAAAAATAAGAAAGACAAAACGAATAAGAAAAAGAGGAAGGAAATAGAGGAAGAAAAGATGAAAAGAAGATAAAAAAAAAGGAAAAAAAAAGAAGAAAACGAAAAAAAGTATTTGAATAGAAAGGAAATGAAGAAGAAAAAAGAAAAAAATGAAGGAAGAAAAACAAAACGAATAAGAAACAGAGAAAAGAAGTAGAGGAAGAAAGAATAAAAGATTAAAATAATAATAAAAAAAAAGAAATGAAATAAGAAAACGAGAAAAAGAATTTGAAGAGAAAGGGAGATGAAAAGAAGAAAACCAAAAAAATAAGAAAGACAAAACGAATAAGAAAAAGAGGAAGGAAATAGAGGAAGAAAAGATGAAAAAGAAGATAAAAAAAGGAAAAAAAGAAGAAAACGAAAAAAGTATTTGAATAGAAAGGAAATGAAGAAGAAAAAGAAGAAAAAATGAAGGAAGAAAAACAAAACGAATAAGAAACAGAGAAAAGAAGTAGAGGAAGAAAGAATAAAAAGATTAAAAATAATAATAAAGAAAAGAAATGAAAGAAGAAAACGAGAAAAAGAATTTGAAGAGAAAGGGAGATGAAAAGAAGAAAACCAAAAAAATAAGAAAGACAAAACGAATAAGAAAAAGAGGAAGGAAATAGAGGAAGAAAAGATGAAAAAGAAGATAAAAAAAGGAAAAAAAGAAGAAAACGAAAAAAGTATTTGAATAGAAAGGAAATGAAGAAGAAAAAGAAGAAAAAATGAAGGAAGAAAAACAAAACGAATAAGAAACAGAGAAAAGAAGTAGTGGAAGAAAGAATAAAAAGATTAAAAATAATAATAAAGAAAAGAAATGAAAGAAGAAAACGAGAAAAAGAATTTGAAGAGAAAGGGAGATGAAAAGAAGAAAACCAAAAAAATAAGAAAGACAAAACGAATAAGAAAAAGAGGAAGGAAATAGAGGAAGAAAAGATGAAAAAGAAGATAAAAAAGGAAAAAAAAAAAGAAAAAACGAAAAAGTATTTGAATAGAAAGGAAATGAAGAAGAAAAAGAAGAAAAAAAAATGAAGGAAAAAAACAAAACGAATAAGAAACAGAGAAAAGAAGTAGAGGAAGAAAGAATAAAAAGATTAAAAAAAAAATAATAAAGAAAAGAAATGAAAAGAAGAAAACGAGAAAAAAGAATTTGAAGAGAAAGGGAGATGAAAAGAAGAAAACCAAAAAAAATAAGAAAGACAAAACGAATAAGAAAAAGAGGAAGGAAATAGAGGAAGAAAAGATGAAAAAGAAGATAAAAAAAAGGAAAAAAAAAGAAAAAAACGAAAAAAGTATTTGAATAGAAAGGAAATGAAGAAGAAAAAGAAGAAAAAATGAAGGAAGAAAAACAAAACGAATAAGAAACAGAGAAAAGAAGTAGAGGAAGAAAGAATAAAAAGATTAAAAATAATAATAAAAAAAGAAATGAAATAAGAAAACGAGAAAAAGAATTTGAAGAGAAAGGGAGATGAAAAGAAGAAAACCAAAAAAATAAGAAAGACAAAACGAATAAGAAAAAGAGGAAGGAAATAGAGGAAGAAAAGATGAAAAAGAAGATAAAAAAAAGGAAAAAAGAAGAAAAACGAAAAAAGTATTTGAATAGAAAGGAAATGAAGAAGAAAAAAAGGAAAAAAACAAAACGAATAAGAAACAGAGAAAAGAAGTAGAGGAAGAAAGAATAAAAAGATTAAAAATAATAATAAAGAAAAGAAATGAAAGAAGAAAACGAGAAAAAAAATTTGAAGAGAAAGGAGATGAAAAAGAAGAAAACCAAAAAAAAAGAAAGACAAAACGAATAAGAAAAAGAAAAGGAAATAGAGGAAGAAAAAGATGAAAAAGAAGATAAAAAAAAAAAAAAAAAGAAAAAACGAAAAAAAATGTATTTGAATAGAAAGGAAATGAAGAAGAAAAAGAAAAAAAAAATGAAGGAAGAAAAAAAAACGAAAAGAAAAAAGAAAAAAAAGAAAAGAAAGAAAAAAAGATTTTAAAATAAAGAAAAGAAATGAAAGAAGAAAACGAGAAAAAGAATTTGAAGAGAAAATGAAAAAGAAGAAAACCAAAAAAATAAGAAAGACAAAACGAATAAGAAAAAGAGGAAGGAAATAGAGGAAGAAAAGATGAAAAAGAAGATAAAAAAAAACGAAAAAAGAAGAAAACGAAAAAAGTATTTGAATAGAAAGGAAATGAAGAAGAAAAAGAAGAAAAAATGAAGGAAGAAAAAAACAAAACGAATAAGAAACAGAGAAAAGAAAAGGAAGAAAGAATAAAAAGATTAAAAATAATAATAAAGAAAAGAAATGAAAGAAGAAAAAATGAGAAAAAAGAATTTGAAGAGAAAGGGAGATGAAAAGAAGAAAACCAAAAAAATAAGAAAGACAAAACGAATAAGAAAAAGAGGAAGGAAATAGAGGAAGAAAAGATGAAAAAGAAGATAAAAAAAGGAAAAAAAGAAGAAAAAAAAAAAAAAGTATTTGAATAGAAAGGAAATGAAGAAGAAAAAGAAGAAAAAAAAGGAAGGAAAAAAACAAAACGAATAAGAAACAGAGAAAAGAAGTAGAGGAAGAAAGAATAAAAAGATTAAAAATAATAATAAAGAAAAGAAATGAAAGAAGAAAACGAGAAAAAGAATTTGAAGAGAAAGGGAGATGAAAAGAAGAAAACCAAAAAATAAGAAAGACAAAACGAATAAGAAAAAGAGGAAGGAAATAGAGGAAGAAAAGATGAAAAAAGAAGATAAAAAAAAAAAAAAAAAGAAGAAAACGAAAAAAAATTATTTGAATAGAAAGGAAAATGAAGAAGAAAAAGAAGAAAAATGAAGGAAGAAAAAACAAAACGAATAAGAAACAGAGAAAAAGAAGTAGAGGAAGAAAGAATAAAAAAGATTAAAAATAATAATAAAGAAAAGAAATGAAAGAAGAAAACGAGAAAAAGAATTTGAAGAGAAAGGGAGATGAAAAGAAGAAAACCAAAAAAATAAGAAAGACAAAACGAATAAGAAAAAGAGGAAGGAAATAGAGGAAGAAAAGATGAAAAAGAAGATAAAAAAAGGAATAAAAGAAGAAAACGAAAAAAGTATTTGAATAGAAAGGAAATGAAGAAGAAAAAGAAGAAAAAATGAAGGAAGAAAAACAAAACGAATAAGAAAAAGAGAAAGGAAGTAGAGGAAGAAAGAATAAAAAGATTAAAAATAATAATAAAAAAAAAGAAATGAAAGAAGAAAACGAGAAAAAGAATTTGAAGAGAAAGGGAGATGAAAAGAAGAAAACCAAAAAAATAAGAAAGACAAAACGAAGAAGAAAAAGAGGAAGGAAATAGAGGAAGAAAAGATGAAAAAGAAGATAAAAAAAAGGAAAAAAATAAATAAATAATGATGAGAAAGAGAAAGGTAATCATCATCATCATCATCATCATCATTGGACCTCTCTATGGTTGGTCGTAACTCCATTGACAATCTCTTTCCACATTGTTTGGCCCTGCATTGCTGTCTCCAGATCCCCAACGTTCAACCTATGGTGTCTGAGAAAGTCATTTTTCGTGAGAAAACACTTCCAGAAGGATACCATATGAGTAAAGATGAGACGATTTCCCTGTCCACTCGGTGGCAGTGGCTGGCAAACTGTAATTGTTTTTTGTTTGAGCTTAAGAGAGATTGATCTCACTTCTCCTTAGATTGTGTTAAGCGTTGCATCGGATTTCCAACTTACGTTCTGGATTTTTTTTTCAAAGTATCAGGTCATCCTATAAGTTCTGTCCGAATTTTGAATAAAGAAAACAAATGACCAAATGTTACATTTAATTACAGATTCAATCAACAATCTATTTTCCCTGATTATCTATGACTCCTGTCCATCTTTTTTGCCATATGTCTTATATTTTTCTCCACATTTTTAAATATTAGATTGCAGTTTACTCTTAGTTCCACGTTTCTTTCCAGGTTGAAAAAGGAATTGGCTCGATACTCGATCCATACGTAAAGAAAAGTATTCTAGGTTACTGTCAGTTATCTGAAAGAATTCATGTAGCTAACTGAAATGAAAGTCTTTCAACAGATCTATCAGGTCATCCCATAAGTTCTGTCCGAATTTTGAATAAAGAAAACAAGTGACCAAATGTTACATGTAATTACAGATTCAATCAACAATGTATCTTCCCTGAGTATCTATGACTTCCTTCCATCTATTAACAAGCTTACTAATTCCATTACTGTAAAATTCTTTTGGCTTTGATTCGAAGAACTCACAAATGTCAGTTTTAACCCCTTCCTGTGTTACAAAAGCTGTTTCTTACAAATGATTCTGTAAGCTACGAAACAAATGGTAGTCTGAAGGAGGAAGATCGGGAGAATAAGGTGGATGAGGAATTTTCTCCCAACCAAGTTCTTCGATCTTTTGTGACGTGATTCTTGCTGTGTGGGGTCGCGCATTGTCCTGATGAAACATCACCTCTTTTCAATTCCCTTAGAGCAGGTCTTTTTTCCTCAAAGCTTGGTTCAAACGCTCTAATTGCTGACAGTATAATTGAGCATTAATTGTTGCATTAGGTGGTAAGAATTCAAAGTGGATTATTCTTTGGCGTGCCCACCAGATTGAAAGAATAAGCTTTTGCCCATGAAGTTCCCTTCTCGCCTGTGGATGGGGTCCTTCCCCTTTACAAAGCCACTGTCTTCGACGCTTAACATTTCGATAAAAGATCCATTTTTTGTCCCCAGTCACAAGTCTATCCAAAAAAGTTGAAACAATTTGGCGAGAATGGAGAGAAGAGCAGATGTCAACTCGGGATTTGAGGTTGTTTTCAGACAATTCATGAGGCACCCATTATCCAAATTTAGGAACTTTTCTAAGTTGTTGAAGATGACGATGAACAGTTGTATGATTTGAACTGAGAACCACTGCCAATTCCTCAACTGATAAAGCAGGATTTTCTTCAAGGGCTGCTTCAAGAAGCTTTTCATCAAACTCAGCTGGACGTCTGGTTCATCTTCATCTTCAAGGGTGAAATCTCCACCTCTGAATTTTGCAAACCATCTTCTGCAAGTTCTTTCATTCACACATTCCTCTCCATAAACTGAGTGAATGTTTCTAGTCGCTTCGGCTGCTGAGTTTCCTTTCTTGAACTCATAAAGCATTACGTGTCTCAAATGATTCTTGGGTACTTCCAGGGTTTTAATCAAACAAAATTTAATTTTTCATTTTATTGTTCTCTGAAATAGAATTTGATCAGTTTAAATGCATCTAAACATAAAAGTAATATTCAGCTCCATTAGACATTATAAAATACTCTTTAGATTTCGTTCATTTTGAAAAAAAGTTAAAATTCGGACGGAACTTATGGGATGACCTGATAGATTTGTGTATGTTCCATCCAGTCGTTTTTCAAGACGAAGAGATAATGTCCAATTTTCTGATTCCAACAGCAGTACTGGTTCAATCAATCTTCGAAAGGTTTGTAGGAGAATGGAAAGTTCGAGCGCCAGATCTTGTGAAGTTTGTTACACGTATTCAAAAGCTTTGCGGATGTTGAAGTCTTTTGGGGAATCTGTTATATGAGATCCAAGGTATTTGAAGTCCTCAACTCTTTTGATGGATGGATTATTGAGTGACTTCACTTCGGACGGTTCAAGATAGGTTGTGATATATTCTGTCTTACTCAGGTTGCAATAGAGACCTACCTGGTTCGCTGTTTGCTCAAATAATTACAGTAAGGATTCTGCATCCTTGATACTAAGAAATTAATGCAAGATCACCAGCAAAGTCAAGGTCAGATAACAATAACGATACCAGGTCAGAAGCGATAACACTAGAGACCTTTTTTCTTGATTTATCTCGAGATATACAGAAGGAACACCAGAAGAAATTTCTTTTTGAATTTAGAAATAAACAAATGGTATTTATACTTTTAAAGAAACCTTATACTTTATAAATATTTTGTGTAGTTTTACTATTTTGTTTCTCAGTTTTAAATAATTTCTTCTAGCTAGTTTAAAAATAAAAAAATTAAAATATCTTATCTCTTTCTATAGTTCCTGTTCAATATGTCTTCGTCAATATCGACGTGCTCGTTGACATGAAAAGAAATACACGTTCTATTAGCTGAAAGATCACGAGTCGAAATGGAGAATAGAAAAAATAATATACCAAAATGCCTTGACACAAATTTGAGTAGAATTTCAGATAATTTTAACCAAAGTCTGGTTCTGAAAGCATCTTTCTCTATTTGTATATACATTTAATTTTTTTTTTAAAAATTCTCTTTGCTTTTACGAGTCGAAAATGCCAGCGTGTGTCAAACGACAACATGCTATTAAAAGTATTGTGACAAAAAAGAAAATAACTTGGACGTTTTTAAAACTCATAAAAGTGGTATCATTTTTTTTTAAGTTTGCCGACTGCTTGAGTAAACATTTTAGAAGCACTGAATTAAGCTAAACGACTCGTGCCAATAGCAAGCGAAACAGACTGCCTCCACACACAAGGGATGTTCCGAGAGTAATGCCTCCTATTTATTTGGTTTGCTTTGTTTTGTTTTACGGTATATCAACCTCAAAGGGTTATTTAATACCGACAAGATTTTTTATTGCTGGTAATATACTTTTTTCAAAAACGTATTCGTTGTAATATATTTTTGAAAAATATATTGTGGTAAATATTCTTTTCACAAACGTATTGCTGGTAATATATTTTTGAAAAATATATTGTGGTAATATTCTTTTCAAACATGTATTGCTGGTAATATTCCATTCAAAAATATATTTCTGGTAATATTTTTTTTTAATTTATTGCTGGTAAACTTCTTTCAAAAATTTATTTCTGGTAATATATTTTTCTTTCAAAAATGTATTACTAATAATATTTTTTTCTTCCCAATATGTATTGCTGTTAATATTTTCATCTTTCCAAAATATATTGCTGCAATAATACCTATTTTTATATTTTCATAGTGTTTTGACCTCTGTTTGGGGATTTAATTATTACTCCATAGATTGGAGCCTGATAGGTTCTACCACCCAGGTCAGGGTTGACCTGGGAACACCAGCAAGTAAGAGTTGGTTTAATGTTCCTCAAAACCGATTAGGAAATCGGAGGCTTTGCTGCTGGCTGTCGTTTATCGTCTTACCCTGGACGCGTATGTGGTTTATCATTTTACCCAGGACACGAATGTAGTTTACTGTCCTACCCAACATTCGGATGTATTTTATCGTCTTACCCAGGATTCAGATGTAGTTTATCGTCTTACCCAGAACATGGATGTAGTTTATTGTCTTACGCAGGACGGGCCTCGTATTTATGGCAACAGTAATGTTAAGAGAGTTGATTGAAGAAAGAGGAGATAAAGGAATGTTTGCAAAGAGATTCCGCCACTAATTTGCGATGGCTAAGGTTTAAAATATTTTTTTTAATTAAAAATCTTTCTTAATGCTTTCATTTTAGCTTTAATTGAAAGCAAATGGCTACATTTACGATTTCCAGTAAGTACAATATTCTGGCGTATTTCAAACATAAATTATATTGATTCAAATTCAGGTTAGAAACCTGCACGTTTTCCAACATATTTCAGGAACAGTTTTATTTTCCAAATTATATTTTAAAATTATACTTGAAATACATGGTTAAAATAAGGTCTTTGTTTACGATAACATCAGGAGGATAGGAGTTGACAAGGTGGGTTCTAATTCATTTAGAGTAACGAGATATACAGGGTGCGATGGATAAACTGTCGTCTAAATTAACCAAAAATGAAAATAACACTGACATTTTAACAGATGTATTTATTAAAATTACACAAAAATACCTTGAAATACTAAATAGTAAATTTACTCAATAAAGTCAGAATTGGCTTCAGCCACGACCCCCATACGACTTCAGAATCACCTTCTAGAAGGTCCTCTTGTTTAAGTTGGTGAATGCTGCCATAATCCTTGCCTTTAGTTCATCTTTGGTGCTACAAGGAGTTCAGAGGAACTCTCACTCAACTGAACCATACATAGTTAATCAATTGGTTACAATCTGAAGAGTTAGGTGGCTAGATGTAAAGGTAATGTGGTCGTCAAAATTGTATGACATTCATGACTGTTCTCTCCTGCTTGTGTAGCATGGTGAAGAGTCCTGTTGTCAGCCATAGGGTCTTCCAACAGCCACCCTCTTAAATCAGGGCAGTACTACCTCCACGACACACTTGATGTAGACCTCTGTGTTGAGTGCGAGGCCCTGTGGGGAGATGAATGGAGGCATAAAGTCGCCATCACGAGTGATCACGCCAAACACATTCGTAATCATCATTAGACTCACCCAACTCTTTCGAAATCTTCTGCACTATCCTCAGCCCAAATACTCCGAAATATCCGTATTAGAGCTTCCGATGGATATATATATTGAACGAAAACGCAAAAAGAACTG